TTACTTGCAGAAGGAAGCTAAAAACATATTCACAGCTAAGACCTGGCAAGCAGAAGGCACTCCAGCATTATTAAAGCTTTGGAAAATGAGGGTATTATGAAATAAGATTATGTTCAGGAGATAAGGCAGAGGCTAGTTAAAAAGTGCTGAAGGTACAGGGTTTATATGGTGGAACTCATGATTCCTGGTATAAAGGTGTGGTGATAAGAGCTGGTATATGTTCCCTTGCTTATAGAAAGGAGATAACAAAAACATCCAAGTTAAAGATGTTCTGGGGAGAAGAGCGTTTTTTATGGGAAAACACTTTGAACTGTGTGTATGGAGAGAAGCAAGGGTAGGAGCACAGGAGCTTACAGAGCCAACACAGTGATAATGAAATTTGAAAGAAGTACCTGAAAGGCATAATAAGACATTATAGGACAGAGACAACAAAGCCAGAGAAGATGAGAGCTGTGCGCGAGTCTGTCTTTTTGTGGCAGGAAAACTCAATCACAGAAAAAGACAGATTGTTGTGGAGCGAACATATTGACAGGAAGAGGCAGCAATTAGAGCCAAAGCTGCCGTTGGACAAAGCAGTCAGTGGATGAGCTGGTAAAGTGCAGGTCAGGGACTTGGTTGAGCAATATGGCGAGAAACCAAACTAGACTAATTACGTGCAACATATTGTGTCCCATCATCACCCCAAACCTCAGCTGAGTGAGGTTGAGATGAGACTCAAGAACACTGGAGAATAGCAGCACAAACAAATCCCTCAGTTTCGGCTGAACATTAAAAAGTGCATGGCCTCTCTGTATTTTAGATTATTGTGTATAAATGTGAATAAATGTGTGCGTGTAAATTAATGGTAATCCTTTGGAGTCGGTCCAGTAATTTGACTCAGAAAAACAGTTTGAGCCTTTTATTAGCACATTTAGTGGCTTTCACAGTTGCCCCATTATTTTGCATTGTTGCCACAGCCCCTGTGTCGTGGCTGCAGGCGTAAGTGATCTGACTGATTTCAGATGTACACACCCCCATTTCTAAACATAGAGCCAGGTTTCTTCTTTAACAGTAGAATCTAGATCACTTATGTTTTTACCAAGATACTAACAAGCACCATATTGTGTTTTACTTCCTATTAAAATGTCACACACTTTCTTGATGTGTTGGTTTATAATCTTAACGTTTTATCTCCAGGATCTGGAGCATCCTTTAGTGAGGATGACACAGCATTCAGTCCTTGATTTGACAGCACCTCTGAGTTCTGGTTCCAGAACAGAAAGTCATCAGAAAACAATGTCACAGCTGTGGAGCTGCCATGTTGCTCTTTTACTGTCCCTAACAACCTTGACTTCTTCAATCTGCCCCCAGTAGTTCTGCCTCAGTCCCACAGGACCGGGCTCCATCTCAGCAGCCCTTTGTTTGTGAACTTCACTGTAGCCTTGAGCAATGCATAGGATGCATTCATAAACAGCTCTGTACAGAAAAAACAAAGACAGAGCATTCACAGAGCACAGATGACTTCTGGCTATAACTCATATACATAAAACAAGGTGTATATTGTACGACATATGTCATGCTTTGATTTAACATGCTTTGTATGTGTAAAGTTATTCTTTATGAAACAGTTGAATCCTTGGAAATAGGAGATGTTCCATACAAGCATTAATAATATCACTGATACTGCAGAAAATGCCAAGTTGTGCAGCAACGATTACACAAATCTATGAACCGATCCGATGCCTACTCTTTTGCGGTATATTAATTTCAACTATAGATAAAACTGTATTCTCTTTTCCCAGAGAACTTCTTCACCACTCTAAACGAACTTGCACTGTACTGCCACTGGTTTTTAGAGCAGAGAGGAAATGATTGATTTTAATCCCATCCTTTATTCAATATAACCCATTGTGCTGCAGGTAATCCAGCTATCAAACAATTTTTAATTTAGCTTCATGAAACACTAAAGTCTGATGAAATAAACAAAGGAAACAAGAGAGTTGTATTATAAATGAACAGCATCCAACGGTTTAAATGAAGTTATACACAAGCTGACGACAAAAGAGATGAAGAAATCAAGTCAGTGTGCATATATCATCAAGGTTTTTCACAGGTTTCACATTTTAAGTGCCGCAGTCAGATGAAAACTGAGTGTTAGAAAGAGAGAGGTCTATATAAACTGTCCTGTCCCAATAGATCCAAACTCATTTTACATTTACACATTTTAAAAAGTCCCACTAACCAAAGCAATTCTAAACTATAGACATCGACAAAAAAACAGACTGACAATTCATATTCAAGTGTTGTGCGCGATAAGGGCTGAGTCAAATATGTAAGGCCACTATGTGTGTTCGTATTAAACTTGTTAGATGAGAGATTTCCTAACTTAGTCATAGATTATTCTCTAATTGCAAGTTTGAGCCCCTGAGAAATGCAGCTGAATACCAAATAGGTTTTTATAATGTTTGAAGTAATGCACTGCTGCCTCATGAAGTCTCACCAGACTGGTTTTATTCACTTTAGCTCACCTTTTGTTCTCACAAACACTCCATCAGCTCCACCATGACAGACACAGCCAGAATATCTAGCAAGAAACATTAGACCCCAACAAGTTGTTCTTAATTTCATGAGACGTGCTTGTTTCATCCTTCCAGCAGTTCAGAGAAACTTCTGATGTGCTGTATAATTTTACAATGTTTTCAATCGTGAGAAAATTTAATTTAATTCGGGTATTTTCCATCTTCAGACTAGACTTCATCAAGTACCAAATTAGACTGAATAGGATGCCCTATACAGTTTCTGGATTATCAATACACTTTAATGTTGAAATGATTTCTCCAGCGACGTCCTCAATTGTGGGTTTGAGATAAACAACATTCCTCAAAGCATTTAAAACTTTAGCTCAATGATAACAATCTGCCGCTAATGACACAACTAAGAGATAATAGACAGGTAATCATATTGGGAGGAATAAGGTGACAGAAATGGTTTATCTTTGCCTTCTCATATCTCTGTCTTGTATAGCTGAACCACGTCTGCGCCGCCTGTTTCCACAAACCCAAATTATATGCATGCTCACTGAGTTCTATTCAATGCTCTAGTGCTTTGAACCACTCCTGCTGTTGTACCCATGCTTGCTGATAGCCGGGTGACAAACTATAAACCCACCGAACTCGATACAACATTTACACTGAACATATGCGCCACTTCCACCATGACAAATGAGCCATGCCTTTGGCGATTTATTGAAAATTATTTGTTTTGTGTTTGCTTTACTTTTGGTACTTTGTGTTAGTTTCACTTACAGAGATTGCATTGATTTTAGCCCAAGGTTCTCGACTCTCAAATTATTGGATGTCTGCTATCAATCATCACTTCATTGCAAGGCCTGATTTACATAAAGAGCCATTCTTGCCACAGGCTGCTTTATTTAATGTTAACTTTTTAGGAGAGTCAAAGGTAATGTTTTGGCACAGGACAAGTTTTGCAGCATGATTCACTGTGTTGATAGTACTATAATAGAAAATCAACCCTCTGTTAGCTATGGGGCTGAATATTATTACTTTGAAACACAGTTATTGCTTCATAACTGTTGGCATTTGTTTTCATTTAGAAAACACAATGAGCAAGTTGTTTTTAATGTGTGGTCAGGGCCACATGTTGCCCAATTGTTCTGTAGCAAGATTGGTTCATTGATGAAGCTTAAGATTCAATATAAAATATTATAATGGATTCTTCTATTTTCATTCTTTTTATTACTATGTTGTCCCAGCAGTTGAATTCAGCCCTGGTTATCATTTCTGAAGTAAATCACATGAGGTCTTTTATATCTGCTGGGTCACAAAAGGCAATTCAGCTCATACAACCAAAATCCTATATCCCTTTCATTTCTGAATCTAATGCACAAATCCATTTCAGTTGCTAACACACTGCCCGTCTCACTGTGTTATACTTTGCCTTTAATAACATTCTTATTTTTAAACCATACCACTTCAATCAAACCACACATATGCTGCGGTCATGGCTGATGTTTTCTTACTTCTCTTACAGTGATAGTAGTATTGGTATTTTGGTGATGTGTTTCCTCTTATTAGGGTTGATGTTATTATCATTGCTGTTCAATGTTCAGTCTTGTGTGCACTTATATTTAATTTCCACAGGTAATGGCTTACAGATGGCTTGCACCCTCCACTGAGGACTCCAGCCCTATATGGGCCTTTGTTTATGCTAATAACAAACTGCCTGGAATGTGTTTCCAAATTAAGCATTTTCAATCTCACATAACCATCCTGCTGCCAGAAATACTCACCAGAAAACCAAGTGCTGAAAACAGCCTTTGTCAAATATACCAAGTAGTAAACCTAAGTTCACTACAAGCTGCTGTGTTCAGCAAATACAGGAGGTTACTGAGCAATCAAATTTTATATATTTGGATAGATAAATTAGTTTAAAGTTTTTGTTGCGTTTGGTGTTTTTAACTGGATTTTTGTCATTGTCATGACTTGCTGAAAACATTTGTGAACCACTTCATACATCTGGCCTAAGCACAGATTGGGATCAATACCCATCACCATATCTTTTCCATGCACGTGCTCACACGAACACATGCATACACAATCAGGGTTCATTATGTGCAAAGGCTTATTGATCCTTTTGAAAGCTATTTCAGTTAAAATACCAGTATAAACCTGGGTCATTAAAGAAAAAGAAAAAATCCTTAATTTACACTTGAAAGGTTATTGCTACTCAGGCCAAAGGGCAAAATGACAATTCTTAAGCAAGTCGAGAAATGCTTTGGGAAGCAAGAAAAATGACAAACATCTTTTTTTGCTTCAAAGGCAGTGGACATAAAGCAGTGAAAAAGACTTATGATAATGTGCTCTGTAGTAGAGGGCTCACTTTAACATGTCTAACATGAACATTAACAGATGGTTTGGAGCTGCACATCCAGCCAAACGTTGACGGGGGAGAGGAGATGGTGTCATTTGTGAATACAAGGGATTCTCTGACTCTTAACTCACCAAATGTTTTGGGGAGGTGAAGTGTCTGGAGGTCACCTTTCAGCAGAGCGCCTTTTGGTGTCCATGCTGTCTACTGGGGGCGCGCAATTGTCCTCCTCCGGCCAGATCATGGCATCTGTGAGGCAGACAGGGAGCAGGAGGGCAGAGGGAGGAGGAGAAGAAAAGGAGAGAATGAATTAAAGAGGATGTGTCAAATCAGGGAGTGGAAAACCTATAGCACACTGAACTTTTTGCCTTTGTGAAATGAATGGGAGGCTTCAATAGGTGGGAAAGTCCATAACACTGAGCCAAATTGACTGATCTTTGTCTGCAGAAAATATACATCCTGTCTCTCAAAGCAGAGCCAAAAGTCTTCAGTTTGCAACAATTCTTTCCATGTGTGTTACTGCCAAAAAGCTTATGTTGCTCGGTAATCTACCACAATATCTGCAGCAGCATTAAAATTGTTCTTTACGCTTTATTTATGCAATATGTTTTAATTAAGTATCTACATGAGAACTGTAGCTACCATTCCCCGCTCGATAATATCTGTCAAAGGGAAGAATGGCATTTCTTCATGTCTAGGGAAGTGTTCATGCCTTATATAGTCTTGGTCTAGTAGAGTTGCCTGCTGCACATAGCTGGATCTGGCCAGGGGCTAAGGAAGCAGACCTTATGAGAGCTCATTAAAAGAGTCTTCAAGTCTTAAGAGACAAACATGAAACTATACTATAAAAAAAGAGCTTGTCATTAAAAATAATCACAAGTATTGGTGCAGTTCCAAGACTAAAAAAAACATTTATTAATAACGGAAGTCACAGTTGGCCTGGATGGATAAATGAGTGGAGAACAGTTATGGCCGGGGCTCAGTTCTAACATTCAGACTATTCTGAAATGCCTCCAGTATTGTAAAAGAAATAAGTCCACTACTCTCCTGTTAATGTTAAGGCTGCGGCACACTACAGGATAATTGGGCCAATCTTAAACCCGATTTGCCTGGTGTTCACAACTGGAGGTCACTCGGTGCCCATTATCTGCCCAAATAATCCTAAAGTGTGGGGGCTTTACAAAAATAATCCTCATGCTACCGATTAAGTTAGAGCCTCCCTGATCTCAAATCTTAAATATCAAACATGTTTGATATTTATGATGGGCTCTGACAGAAATCCGCAATAGCATGAGAGAGAAAGAGAGCTGACCAGGAAACATCACCAACCGGATGTTGCGTACTCTGTAGCTGTGACTAAAAGCAACTATCGATTTCAAACTCACTCCAGCTCCAACTCCTCACGCTGCAAAATGTGTACGCCTTCTCAGCCATAGCTTTTTTTGTCTCTGCTGCAAACAGAGCTGTCGGTCCTCCTCCATGTTTGTTTTTCTTGTGAAGACATCTTTAATCACGCAAAAGTTTCACACTCCAGTTCAGAAGGTGGCAGTAATGCATGAAAAAGTTGTTCTCCAACCACCATAAAAACTGAAGAAGAAGAAGAAATTTCTGTGAGATTTCAAGTCTCTGGCCACAGTGAACTTGTCTCCTACATACGTCAAGTGTGTGGTCTGACATTATGGCCAAATTTTTTCAGTGTGTGTGTTCTGATGATTATGAGATAAAATATCTGTTAAATCTGTCATTATATATATGGTCTCCCATGACTTCATGAGTTGAAAATCCTCTAGTGTGCAGCAGCCCTTACATTCACAAACTGCAACCCAAAGGTCAATCTAGGAATCATTTCTCCTCTAATGGGGAAGTCGTGTGACATTTACAAGCAAGGACGATTCCCTTCGCAGGGCCACATAAAGGCTTCATGAATACTAAAGTAAAAGTACACAAATTTAAATAAAATACTGTAACCCTCACTGTATTCTAACATCTTAAAAAAGGCATACTAACAAATGAAGTACTTCATCCTAATAATGATGCTCTCATGTGGCCTATCTGCCTCACATTTTCCCCAACCCTGGAGGGGCGCTTAAGTGAGCCATAAAGAGGACTGAATGAGACAATTAACATTTTCAAGATTCCACTTTAAATCTGCACCAAGTCTCGATATGAGTCTCAATTTGCATTAAATATCCCATGAACGAGGACGATTTTCCCACAATAATACGAAACGGTCATTATCCTGACAGACTGTAAATGTACAATAGCTCATTATCAATCTGAAAGAGAAATGTGTCATTAGTACATGTGAAGGCCATGACTTTAAAGTAATAGATAATTTATATAAGCTCTAGTTCTCCATTTCAAAGTGAGTTATTATGTGGTAGGGTATCTTGAAGGGTTATTTTTCAAAATGCAGCTATGTGGAATATAAAAAGAAAAGCTAAAAAGGTTCAACAAATGGTTAGCTTATTTATTTTCACCCATCAGGAAGACACATTTCTATGATTCCCGACAACGCTAATAAAATCTGCTGTATTTGTGGGTTGGACACAGTGGTGGACTGCAACAAAATTACATTCACTTTGTTACTGTACTTTATGTCATGTATCTACAAAGTGCACCTGCAGCAGCAAAACTCACAAGCGACGCCACTGCCAAAACGCAGTCATAATGAAGTGCCAGATCACATTCGGGAATGGCCTTCACTCAGCAAGTACTTTTATGTCAAATAAAAGTATATTCAAAGGCAACAACGTTCTTTATTTTACTTGAGAATGTAGTAAATAGCATGTGAAGGTGGCTCGATGGCCAAATAGTTAGGGTGCATACCACATGGGTGTCTCCGGTTCCATTTGCTGCATGTCTTCACTCCTGTGCCCAAAGTAATAATCAAGTGATTGGTGTCAAGAAGCACCTGGCGGTGTAATAAAAAGATTCAGACATGAGTTTACAGCCTCCTCAGGACAACATGGGGAACTGACAACTGCAACTGTGTGACTCACAGTAACCACAGTGGCGTCAACTACAACATGATAGGTTGGATTTTGCAAATCCTAAATATTTTTCTTCCTATAAAGTCCCTTGTCTCATCGAGCTATGACCAGTGTAAATCTACAAAGGTCTACGCATTTATTAGCCACAATTACATTCATAACATCTTTCACTGACTGTTTATTCTTCCCTGTGCAAAAAAACTACACAGACACTAAAAAACTGCCCATGATAAATGTGTTGTGGGATTTGTGTTATACAAGTCATGGACCCTGCGTCGGGTTGAAGCGAGAGCTGCGAGCTCTGATGTTTGAGGCGTGATAAAAAAGGGGTGAAAACTCATTGAATATTGAGGCAAAAGAGGGAGTGTGTTTACTGAGTCTTCTTCTGATATGAAATATCAAACACCCTTGCAGCAAACTCTTCATCCCTCTGTGGTAAATGCTTAAAGTGACTCAGTATCTAATCACCTGCATGTAAGGGCTTTGAAAGAGCCTCTGTTGCCTCAGTAAGTGTCTGACAATTTTTTTTTTTGTATATTGTCTCCAGCTGTAACTCTGAATGCAAGAATGCGAAGGAGGGAGGCAGTTTGTGTGTGAGTGTATGTGATTGAGAGAGACAAAGAAGACACATACATACAGGGAGACAGATGGAAAAGAGTGTGTTTCTTATGTTTGAACCACATTTGAGATTCAGCCAAGGTCATCCTCTTACTTCTGACATACATGGAGCCAGACTGAGCCTCTCACTCGGACGCTCTCCATCTGCTACCACTGATAAGCCCGGCTATACTTCATGTGCAGCTGATAGTCACTGTGGCTCTGTATTGTGTGGATATATAGTGTGATTAAACCACATAAGGATTTTCTTGGATTCGCAATAAAAAAGAACATTAGTCTCACATGTACAATACAGGCCTAAAAATAATCTAAAGAAGGGCTATGATACTTTGATACTTCTGAAGGGTATTTCTATCGATTTTTGATATTTTCTAATGTGTACTTCAACAATGTACAGCATCAAAAAAAACATAGGTACTGAAAAGGACACAAAGCACACTGAAGTCACACCTCCTGCTCAGTAATTTCCCTGAGAGGATCGTTCCAGCCACAAAGGTTGACAATGATATTCTGTCAGTTGGTTCCTGCATGTCAGCCAAGAAACTCAATTTCAGGGAGGATTAAAGAGGATTGAAACTGCTTTATTCAAATGTGACCTGAACTGGACGAAGTGGACTGAGGTTAATAGGTGTGTGTCATCAAGTACCCTGTGAGCCACAGCTTCCATTTTCTATGAGAGAAAATAGAAACATCTTTATAGCTCATCAGTGTGAACATGTTCCAGTTTGTACTTTTCTATATGGCAGCTGTTTAGATGAACCCTGAGCAGGGTTTGGGTCAGGTCAGCAGCTTCAGCAGAAAAATAAGGGAGATAATAAATACTGTATAAAACTGTTTGCCCAATGCCCTCATAGTTCATACTGGAGTATATTTATAGGATTAATAATTATCAGTGTGTTCAATTTGGTGCAGCTTGATTGAGATTAAGAGGACTGTTGTCCCTTGGCGGTGGTATGTTCTCGACCAATGCCCTCATAGTTCATACTGGAACCCCTTGTACTACTGTCAATGGGAAATTCTATAGTTGCTAAAACACTTTCCATCAGCATTGGTGGTTCAGTGGAAGAATTCTCAGATGTGCAATGGCTTTACCCATGTACCCCTTAGAATTAACAAGGTAGAGTGTTTTTTTTAAAGAAGTAGAATTCTCGCCTGCCACGTGGGGGCCAGCCTTGGATAGTTGTAATTCACTGACAGCCAATCAGATTGAGACGTTTTTTGTCCGCTTTCCCTGTCAGTGGTACTTACCTGTTATATTACTTTCAAATGACAGTCAGGTTACACTCAACATCATTTCACTCTGAAATATCTACACATCAGGAAGTATAGTATAGAATGTTTGTACTATATAGTATGCAATAATACCCTGAGAGCATATTTTAAATCACAACAGTCACACTGTTGCATTCAAGGGTGTATTAAAACCCTATTCGGCTTTTTCTTCATATAGAAAATAAACAAATGAAGATGAAATCAAGTGAAACAAGGTTTTTACTTAAAAGCATGATACAATTTACAAACAGAATATGCTCCTTTTAACAATGAATATGTAATCAATCTATCTATTTAATAATTCCAGAAATCTGTGTGTCTGTTTACATGTGGAACATGTGTTCAGAACTTCTCAACCTTTTCCTG